TGGCCCTTATCTTTCTCAGCTGCAGGAGGTGCAGCCTCACACAACCCCATATCCATCTCAGGAATGGCCTTTTGGCACCCATTTCTGTGTGCTGACCATCACCCTGGCACGGGCAGCAACATGTAAGATTTCAAACTACTCGAGACAGGCACTGCCCTTCAGGAGACTAAGCAGTGAAAGGAGCTGGCAAAGTGCTCAGAGGCTCCTTCTGCTGCCTCATGCCGCAGCGTCCTGAGTGGGCTGGTTCATTAATCTGGGCACATGGCAGGCCTAACCAACAGCTGCAGAGGCTACCAACAGTTGTCCAAAGGATTCTGTGAACCGGTACCTTGCTCATTCCTTCCAAGTGTGACCAGCATTAGCAGTGTACACCTGGTAATACAGTACCTCAGATTAAAGGAATGAAAACTGCTTCTAATAGGATCTATCTTAGAAGCATCTTTCTAGCTATCCATCCAAACTCATGACCTGTGTTAGCTTTGGATTTATCTTCTTATCAAAGTTATAGGAACTACTTCTTGTGAAGTCTTTTCTGTTGCAGCTAGTTGCTGAATAATTGTCCACTACTTTTCAATTATTAGTTTTGTATTTCAGGGCCGTGAACTACACCAGATTATGTATTTTGAAATAAATATAACTCAGAGCACAATAGCTGCAATAGGAAAATCCTGTTACATAATCTGTGTGCAGCGTCTGTAGTGCTATTTTTAAATGCATACTTCTGATCATTCCTTAAGCTATACAAAAAGCCTTACTAAATCACTGCCACTTTGCTAGAGACATGTCTTACCATCCCCACCCACCCCCTGCACTGAAGTTGCCTAATTTCTTGCTCTTTTAATATAAATATAGCTATATACTTAGGACTGGAAAATACTCTGGTTTCACTGTTGAACTCAAGGCAGAATTTTCCGGGGGGGGGGGGGGGAAGTGTCAATGTACGTTTGCAACACAGTGTTCAGCACCTAAGCAAGCCCTTCAGCATCAAGGTTACATAAAAAGAGATCACACTGTCAGTTCAGGTTACCAGAGCCTTGCACTTCTGTATTTTGATCACGTAGATATCAAAGGGGAGGGAGGGAAAGATTCCCAATGAACATGTTGGGGGGAGGGAGACTGACCTTACAGTAGAGCAGGGGAAAATATCACAGCAATCTGTACCTAATTTGACTGCAGCAACATTTGTTTGGCAGGTGTAATTGGCTTTCTCATGATTCATGACTGTTTTTAAAATTTTTTTTCAACCTTGTTGTCCCCTGAAATTTCCAATGGAGGTACAAGCTCCTATATCAGCAACATAGTTTACTTTTCTCACTTACCTTCTGTTGAGTCTTTACAATCTTGTCACAAAACCCCAGCAGCCTTGTGGATGATAGGTTGAAATCCACTGTCCTGGCAAAAAGAAATGAAGCCTTCTGATTGCTAAGAGACCAATAATACATCATAACTCATCCCACTGGGAAAATTCTCCCCAGCACCCATCCATCTATGATCCACATTAGGCTACAGAAGGACACGTTACCTAATCGACCATTTGATTGTTCTGTGCATGATTACAGGGCCAAAGCAATACTTTTTCAAAAATTCACTTTCCAAGAAAAACAAACAAACAACCCCAAAAAACCCCCCCAAAACCCAAACAAAAAACCCCCCAAAACCCTGTCCTGCACCTTGAATGTCTAGTTATCATTTACTTTGCTACTGAAAAAAGACTGAGAAAAGATTTGTTCAGAAACCATCTGCTGGTTCAGTGAAGCCACAATCTGTTTGCATAACATATCTTCTCCCTTTTTCTCACAGGGAACCTCCATGTCTCAAAATAAAGCTTATCTATCCCCTTTGCCTTGTTCCTCCTATTGCTGATACCCTTCTAACCTTGCTCTCGGCACAGCTTACTTTGGCAAACAACATGCACTAACTGCCCAGACAGCGTCTAACTTTCTTTGCTGGGAAGAGGTTACAAAAACATCAAGTGTGGGGGCATAGCAGCAAAGAGGAATGGGCAACAGCAACACATAGAACAGCTGAAAATTTATTTCTGCTGTACCCGAGACACCATTAGCTTTACACAGTAAACTGCCCCTCTTCCTAAGGTCTGGCTGGATTTTTGCTTGTATGTGTATCTACACACATGTATATACAAAGTATGTGTAACTGTTCACAGCTGTACACACATTTATATGCCCTTCCAGGCTCTGAGGAGAATGGTTTCTGTTAGAGTTCTACCTAATGTTTAGCTCCTGCTACCCTGTGACTTAGGCCAAGAAAAGCCCTTTTGAAGTCTAAATGGTTATTATCTAAGAGCAAAAAGTAGATTGCTCTACTGTAAAATCAAATCTCTCCTTTATGCAAAAGAAAGTGACGCACGGGCAAATTTCCGTACTGCTTGCTTATTTCCCTTTCATCTATAAGCTTTACAGATACTGAAGGTCCTTTCAAGGACTTTGGACTTCAGCAGTCAAGCTCTAAACCAAGAGAGAGCATATGAATACTAGAGAGAAAAGGCTTAGACTCTCATGCACTGAAGAACAGTACTGACTATAAAGAGAGCTGCTTAACATCTTTTTCACAGCAAATTACTTGGAGTTTAACAGTAATATCTGACATAATGTCATTTCAGTAAGTCAGCATCATAGCCCACTTAACTGATGAAATTATTTTAAAGTATCTGGTCAGCAAGTAATGGAATCAGAAGATATTTCAGTCCCTCATATGGCAAATCTTCAGCAGTGAAGGACAGTCACACTCCTTGGTAACATCCCTTACTGCTTTATAATGTAATTCTCTCAGGAAAAGATCATTCCCCTGGAAGAGGCTTATCACATTAAAATGCATTGTTTCATGAATGAAAGCCATTTTCTATCCTCTCCATAGCTTAGATGGGATCAGACCAGAAGTCCATCCTTTTAAACACCCTTCAACACCAGCCAATACCAAATATTTCTGCAGAAAGCAAAAAGGCCGCTAAGAGATGCAGATGTGAGGACAGTCTGCCTCTTCAAGTTCCACCCTTCTCTCAGAATCAGCTCAAATTCTGAGCAGGGAGTATAATGATTCAGTCTAAATATAACTCTAATTCAGCTTCATTAACTTGTCCCTCTATTCTTGTACTACAAGACTGACCAAGAGTTCTCTACTTCTCTACTTGCTTCACTACCCAGTTTTATAGACTCAATATTTATCTTTTCCGTCTTAAGGAACTAGTGTCTTAGTCTTCCTAGTGCCATCATAGCAGAAACTTTCTCCTACTCATGTTATTGCCCTTCTTCAAACCCCTCTACTTTAGAGGAACTCTTTTTCAGACATTGAGCTGTACAACACACTTTATTTCAGCTGAAGCCCAGTGACTGATACAATATTTTGCTCATACTATGCTCTAGCAGCCATTTTCTACAACATCTTCAGTAATAAGCAAGATACCTTTCTTCTCCTAGTAGTGTTAAATATTTCCTTGGTGTCTAAGTAGGTAACTTTTCTCCATTAAAAAAAACCAACTAAATTCCCTCACACAACCAAAACCCAGCACCCTATATCTTCACTACAGTGCAGTCTAGTCATCTTTCTTGCTTATGGGTTTTCAAATTACATACAGGTTTCTTAGCTCCTTTAATGGCCATTTCCAAGGACTTCATTCTGAACATCAACAGCAAGGACTGAGGTTCCTCACTGTTCATGTTTCATTTGTGGAGATCCTCCTCTTCCATCATGGGGGTGGATGAGAGAATTGTTTTGGTGCTTCTTCAGCTACTTGCTTTCAGAAGAAATTCTTTAATACAAGAAAGAATGTTCTAAGTATATTCATACTACCTTGGAACTATTCAATGCTGAATAATTAGCTCTGTCTTGAGCATCCCAGAATAACTGCTTTCTATATTTTTACTTGATTTCATAGTTCACACTAGCTTATTATCTAGTTCTATCAACACTTGGAGAAATAGCTGTTCAAACCTAATACACATGGTATGAAATAAACCTAATACACACTTCAGCACAGTATACTAAAATGAATTTCCTATCTGTCTCTGCATTAACAGAGAACAGCTATTGGCTTATCTATATCTTTAACATTACAGCTTTGGATTCCAGGACAAGAATGACACTGGTCTTTCTATCATTCATAAATAAATAGTTCTGACAGGTCTTTCTATCATTCAGTAATGAACAGCTCTGACTGGGTAGCTAAGTTACTGAAACAGAAAAAGGAGTCCCTTGTAACCTGAAAATAAATTTGACATGGCTATCTAAGCATATCTTAGTCTTCCTTCCCATCTACATTTTGTTTCCTATGTACAAACCCTTTTCTTGATTACTACAGTTTACTATAGGAAAGCAAGTAACAATCATGGAAAGAAAACTATTTCAAGGATCACTCCATTACGTCAGTGAAAAAGGAAAAGCAAACCAATAGTCATTTCTTTACAATGGATGATTTCTAGTTTTTCGGAGGGGGATTGTGTCAGCAACATGCTTAAATAACTGCATAGCTGTCAGTGATGTTTCTCTTCCACTGCTCTACCTCCTCAGGTCTAAAAGGCAGATACCCAGTCAAGGAGCAAGGAAGTACTAGGAGCACAGAGGAAGAGATGTAACTGATACATTTGAGTTAGAGTAAAAAATTAGGAACATAAACAGCTTCACTGAGTGTGCAACAGCAAAAAAATTTAACCTGTTTTATGTCATAAATCTTTCTCACAGAACACTAGCTCTTATAATAAAGTATCATCTTAGCCATTAAGTAAAATGAGTACCCAATAACATTTAGAGACTGGGAGCAGTCTGACATCTAATTACATGGATTTGAGACTCCAGTTATCAAATCTTTTATCTTTATTCCAAGCATACTAAAGGCACAGAAATTTACAGCAAGCAGCCTAAATCCTTTAGTTGAACTTTTCCTCCTCAAAATAGAACACAATATATTCCAATATCCAAGTGGAAAAAAATGCTGCCAGCACATATCGCATATTTGCTACTAACAAAGTACACATTTAGGAAAGGCATTCCAGTAGCCAGGAGTTTTATTTTCCAAGAATTCTGATTACTTTTTGTATAGAAAATGCTTTTCTTTTTACATAGGAAACCTAGACATAAATGATGCAAGAGTTTGTAAAGATTTCATAAGGCTGCTAAATATGGCCATGTAAAAACCATTCTCAAAAGCCAAGATTCAAAATAAGATGAATACTGAAAACACCTTTTTAAAGGCAGCTCACATCCTGATATTAACACCTGTATGAGAGGTTTCTACAGAAAAAGCATCTTTTCTTCAGTCTTCTCCTGCTTCAGTCCCTGAATCACCAGTCTCAGTGGAAGAAAGGGGAGCAACAACCCCCTGTTTTCCAGGTACCGATGAATCCAGATGGGTAGCAACTTCTCCCTTCACTGGAGTCTCATTCGCTTTTCAGGTGGTCCTTTAGCACCAGCACTCTGCTGAGCATTCTTCACAGTCTCTTTTTCCTCTGGCTTGACAGCTTCAGGGGCTGGTTCTGGTTCCTTCTTGATCTGATCCACTAAAGATGTAACAGCAAAAGAAAGTTCAACCTCTGATTTTTATTTCTAAAATACCATTCAGAGTACTTAGAAAATACTGATGTCAAAGGGGCAAAATTAATTTCAAAGGTATAAAAATAAGCAGAGAATAAAGTCATACTTGCATGAGTTTAAAAGTGGAATAGATTGAAGAATACAGTTCATGCTTTTCCTGTTTTGAGGTTGCTTACGATCCACTAGAGCTTGTAGTATCATGCAAAATCACTAAGATGCTAGACTGACTAAACTGTTCCCTCATTCACCCTTTCACCCTCCTCCTGCTTTCAAAGACCACTTCCTGCATTGGGACCTTCAGGCAATCCAGTCTTACAGACAGCACAGCAAGAGCAGGAGAAGAATATATAATTTCACTCTGGCTGTCACAGAGAACTCTTATGTGGTATTTTGCACAACAGGCAATGCCAGAATCCCACACACCTCAGCAGCAGCAAGGAGCTTACATGGCATCTGGAAGATACTGCCATATAGAGCCTATCTTTTAAGTCTTGTGAGAATGTAAGAGTTTTACCTGGGATAGGCTTTTCTCCAGGCTTTTGCTGTGAGAGAAGAAGAAAAAAACCACATCAGCAGAACCAAAGTTATAATTCTTAACCCTTCCTACAATTTGTTTAGGAATGAAATCTGAGCAGTGCACTCTTGTACGTAGAATGAATCACTAAATACACTAAACAAAATCCAATTCACATTTTATGACATCCAGTTTTTCCTGACAACTAAAAACACTAAAGCAAAAAACATGCAGTTAGCCAGTCTTTCCCACATCTGAGGAACAAACAGTTTTGGAAGGTGCTGCAAACATAATTTCCTTTGCTCCCAAGCAGAAGACTCGGTGGAACAAATAGCTACCAAAGACGATCAGAGGTAATCACAACAACTTCACAGAGTGCCAAGAATTTCCATACTAATTAATGAGTCTTTACAACAATAGGGTAGCTAAACCAAAATACTGTGGTGGCTTGATTGAGCTCACAAAGCAGGAAACTGGAAGCAGAAGCAAAATCTGATAGCTGAGAGCAGACCCTCTGTGATTAGATAAAGAATTTGTATCATAAAATTCAATCTTGTAGTTTTGTCAAGGTCTTAATGACTCCTGCAATTACAAAGGGGAATCCTACACTCCAGTCATAGCCCTCCATTTCAAATTTATTACCTAATCAATAATACCACTGCAGAAATATCAAAAATTCCCATTCAGTTTCAGCTGTTCAAGTACTTATGACTGTCTTTTATGTTCTAAATAAGTTACAGTAACACTGCAGCTTGTATCATACCTGAACAAATTTGGGTGGAAATTTTTGTCTTAGGTCTAAGAGCAAAGCATCTACCCGTTGCCTTTGGAAAATAGAACTTGGTTCTTCTTTCTTCTTAGCTTTTGGTTTAGCTTTCTCTGCAAGTCACAGAAATGTTAAAGAAAGATGTATTAAAATTTCTCTTAGCAGCAATTTCTTGTATGACAAGTTGTTATTTGTCTCTCCTCTAACCTTCACCTACGTTTTCCCACTGACAGAAGTTACTTTTTTTGTGGAAGACAGATTCAGGATGATTCTTACTTCCTGACAAACTGGTCTGGTTTCTGAAAATGTACTTTGGTCTCCAGTGGGTTGAAGAGTTGCCCACTTTGTTGACACAGTTCACCATTTTCATCTCCCACCCATGTCTTGATGTTCACACCAACAACACAGAAGAGCAACATTCCTTTCACCTGGTAGGAAGTCCTCATAGACCCTTTGGACACTCTACCTCACCTCTACACCAACACTGTGCATTGCTTCAAGCTTTTCCCTACATTACTTTTCCCAAAGCATGCAGGAACAACTAGGAATCATACCTCGTTCTTCTTGATCTTTGAAATGCCACCAGTAACCCTTGGACGGGTGATAGCGACAGTAGGACATAGCTTCTTCAAAAGCAGACTGGATTCCATGCACTGCAGTGAGCTTCCAGAACAAGAACATGAGACAGTGTTCAGAATTTAAGGAGAAAATACAGTATAAATCTTTGACATGCAGGAACAACTAGGAATCATACCTCGTTCTTCTTGATCTTTGAAATGCCACCAGTAACCCTTGGACGGGTGATAGCGACAGTAGGACATAGCTTCTTCAAAAGCAGACTGGATTCCATGCACTGCAGTGAGCTTCCAGAACAAGAACATGAGACAGTGTTCAGAATTTAAGGAGAAAATACAGTATAAATCTTTGAAAGCAGGGCTTTGAAAATTAGTATTCTATATTCATTATTGTTCTGGGAAGGGCTAGTTTTGGCCAAGAATGTAATTTCTTTAATAGGTTTTCATAAGGCCTTTTCTAAAGTGCTCTTCTAAACCAACAGAGAAAAACTTGCAAAAGCAGTAGTTTACGAGAACTGAAGAGATCAAAACAAACCCAACCATCCAATTTAATTAGCTTAACATTCCAAAGCATCATTGAATATGTGCCTAATTACTATTTCATATGTATTTATCAAGTAATTTTTCTTTTGATTATTCAAACCTCATGCTGTTTTGGCAGTTGTGTAACTTCAGTTATTCTGCTCCTTTATCCTTTAACAAAGTAGCCTACATTTAGGGCAACATTGCACTCTCACAGATTCTTTCATTTTCATGTGGGATGCACACAGTATTAACCAGTGGAGTTTGGTTTCAGTTACTGTACTGTTATTACACAAGATCTTTCCTCAAGACAGTGAAGGAGAGATTTAAACAGCCTGGGGAACAACCAAAAGTAAAAGCAGATACAAAACAGTATACAGCAAATGCACTGAAGACTTACAACTCTGGAATTAATGACAGACCCTAAGTCAGGTGCTTGATAAATCACTCCAGCAATAATATAGTAGTCGGCCAATGGAATAACTGCGGGGGGAAAAAAAGGCAGGATCAATTTAAAGCTCTGGCTGAAGAGTGTCTTTGTTGCTGAGTTGCAGTAGTAACAGCAGAGATTGCAATATTCATCTTATCACAAAATCTCTCCTTAACCTTTTCTTTCCTGCTTTATTTACACCTTAGTCACAGGCGAAAAAAAACAAGGTCTGCTTTACAGATGGAAAAGCATCAGCTTTAAG